GAGCCCTTTTTTTTTGGCCAGAGGAACTACGGAAAGGGGCCCCTGTTGTCCCAGTGTGGGGGTGAAATCTCCTTTACTGCTCTCTGTTGCTGCTTTGACTTGAAAACATGCATGGGGCCAGCGTGGGTGGTAGGATTAACTCTGGGAGAGTCTCTGGCTTTCAAGCCTTGCTTTAAGACATATAGACCAATGGAACAGAATAGAGAACCCAGATATGGACCCTCAACTCTATGGTCAAATAATCTTTGACAAAGGAGGAAAAAAACATGCAATGGAAAAAAGACAGTCTCTTCAATAAATACTGCTGGGAAAATTGGACAGCCACATGCAGAAGAATGAAACTTGACCATTCTCTAACACCATTCACAAAGATAAACTCAAAGTGGATGAAAGACCTCAATGTGAGACAGGAATCCATCAAAATCCTAGAGGAGAACATAGGTAGTAACCTCTCTGACATCGCCCACAGCAACTTCTTTCAAGATACATCTCCAAAAGCTAGTGAAACAAAAGCAAAAATGAACTTTTGGGACTTCATCAAGATAAAAAGCTTCTGCACAGCAAAGGAAACAGTCAACAAAACAAAGAGGCAACCCACAGAATGGGAGAAGATATTTGCAAATGACACTACAGATAAAGGGCTGGTATCCAAGATCTATAAAGAACTTCTCAAACTCAACACCCAAAAAACAAATAATCAAGTCAAAAAGTGGGCAGAAGAGATGAACAGACACTTCTCTAAAGAAGACATACAAATGGCTAACAGACACATGAAAAAATGTTCATTATCATTAGCCGTCAGGGAAATCCAAATCAAAACCACACCAAGATACCACCTTACACCAGTTAGAATGGCAAAAATGGACAGGGAAAGAAACAACAAATGTTGGAGAGGTTGTGGAGAAAGGGGAACCCTCTTACACTGTTGGTGGGAATGCAAGTTGGTACAGCCACTTTGGAAAACAGTGTGGAGGTTCCTCAAAAAATTAAAAATAGAGCTACCCTATGACCCAGCAATTGCACTACTGGGTATTTACCCCAAAGACACAGATGTAGTGAAAAGAAGGGCCATATGCAACCCAATGTTCATAGCAGCAATGTCCGCAATAGCCAAACTGTGGAAAGAACAGAGATGCCCTTCAACAGATGAATGGATAAAGAAGATGTGGTCCATATATACAATGGAATATTACTCAGCCATCAGAAAGGATGAATACCCAACTTTTACATCAACAGGGATGGGACTGGAGGAGATTATGCTAAGTGAAAGAAGTCAAGCAGAGAAAGTCAATTATCATATGGTTTCACTTATTTGTGGAACATAAGGAATAGCATGGAGGACATTAGGAGAAGGAAGGGAAAAATGGGGGGGGGGTGGAATTGGAGGGAGAGATGAACCATGAGAGACTATGGACTCTGAGAAACAAACAGGGTTTTAGAGGGGAGGGGTGAGGGGGGATTGGTTAGCCTGGTGATGGGTATTAAGGAGGGCACGTACTGCATGGAGCACTGGGTGTTATACGAAAACAATGGATCGTGGAACACATCAAAAACCAATGATGTATTGTATGGTGACTAACATAACATAATAAAATTAAATAAAATAAACTGTATAGGAAGGAATCAGAGACTTCTAATGGGGGCTGGATTTCCCCACAACCAGGGCGGTACCCTCTTGTGTACTCTACCAAGTATCCCCTGTAGTGTGAGGATTGTCCACTCAGGATGGCTGGAACTACCTCTAGCCCTGTGTGCACTGTAGGTACTACTCCATCTGCTCCTTGGGGAGGTTCTTTCCCTGACCTGCAAGCATTCACTGATCTGCACTCACCTGTAGACTCCAGCTCTGTAGGCCCTCTGAGCTCTCTAGAGTGTTCCCTCTGTGCAGCTCTACCCTCAACTGTACTCAGTCCTGGGAACTCCAGCTGCCTTGACTTTCCTGACTTCCAACCCTGTCTCCTCAGGGAGACCAGTGGGCTGTCTGAGCAACTCCTCTTTGTGCTATGTCTGGAAATCTCCAGATGGTGAAATGAGACCATCTTTGGAGTCCCCTCATTTGTTCCCTCTCTCTCTGTTTACTCTCCTCTGCTATTTATCATCAAATATCTGAAAACTGCTGTTTTATACCACATTTATGGGCTTTTCTTATTTGAGATGGATGAGCAAATCAGGCATGGCTGTGTTTCAAAACTCTAAACTTCGGAGACCCTGGTGGCACAGCCCCATGATGATCCTCTGGGGGAGGGTCTGCAGCACTGCAGCCAGTGATGGCTTGTCTCAGAAAACAGTCACTCGATGGCACATCAGTTTGGAGTTTATGGTAAATCATAGCACAAAGCCAGCGCTAATGTTTGCTACCCTGTCTTTGTTCCAAGGCGGGTGAGCGAGGCAGCTCAATGGTGCCTGCCGGGTTTTTGCCTACTGAGAGGCTGTATCACCTCAACCAAATACACTCCAAGCAGGGGAACTGTTTCTCCCCATGCAACCCAGAGGATCCTCATACCACACTGCCTTCCTCCCCAGGACTCTCTTCTTCCCTGCTGGAGCACCACTCAGCTTGCCAGGCATGACCCTGGCAATGGCGCTGACCTCAGAAACTTCAGATTCTGTGCCTTGCTGCTTATAAAAATATTTGTGATATTTAAACACACTCCTTTTTTCCCAGTAAATGGTTTTGGGGAAAAGTACTAGCTAGGCAATCCCCTGCACATGTTTTCACTCTTTTCTCCTTCTTTCTCTCTCCCTCCTCTCTCCACAGTCAGGGCTCTCTCCCCTCTGCAATGCCAGTGGCTCTTTTCTCCCCCAAATCAACTCTCCCCAGTTCCTAATTTCCATGAGATGGTCATGTTTTCTGCTTGTAGAAGTGCAGCTTTGTTCTCTCAGTCCTGTGATCAATTTCTTGGGTGTTCAGAATGATTTGATAATTATCTAGCTGTATTCAAGGGAGGAGGCAAGCTTAGGGTCACCCTATTCCTCCACCATCTTAACCCCTATCCCAAACACTTCTATCTTAATGAAAGAAGATGCTAGTTGACAGATGCCTTCTACCACTGTAGTTTCACAAAGTATATGGCACTTTCCAAGTGATTTCACACATACATTTGCAAACACTTCTCTCTTAATGAAAGAAGAATCTAATTGAAAGATGCTTTCAACTCAGTGTAGTTTACAGTTAAGTATATGGCAAATTAAATTCATTTCTTAACTCTCCTTATAATCCTTATCTGGAAAATATAAATTATTTCTCTTTCTATTCTGCTTATAATTATTGTGAGGACTGAAAGACTAATTAATTTAAATTCCCACCATTCACTGCCTACACATGGCATGCTTTCCATAAAAGCTAGTTGTTCTTTATGACATATTCTCACTAATATTTTCATGAATTATTGTTAAATATTAAGAATTAATGTCAATTTTTTAAGGGTACTGTCATAAAGTAATTCATGCTCAAGAACACATTGTATGATACTTATTTTCTACAATAGAAGGAACTAAAACACAAATTACTTAAACTTCACTTCAATTTAGCTATTTTATTTATATTTCTGCAGTAAAAGTTTGCTACTCTTCATTATTGTTGTATTTGTTCATATTAATTTTTATTCTAATATACAATTAAACTAAATAAAATATAAGGATGATTAAGGGTATGATGCTGTTAAAACTTAGTACTGCAGAATTATATGTTCATATTGTTTCTGTTAATCCATCATGCAACTCATCTGTCATTAAACTCCTGGGTGAGATTTACCACCATGGGTGGGCTCAGACATTCTCAGACTTTTGTAGATATCCTCTCACTAAAGGAGATGTTACCAGACTTTTATAAATCCCTGAGCCACATTTGAAACTCTGGTTGTATTTATTGTGTGCCAGACCTTCCAGTAAGTGAAATAAATACAAGAATATTCAGCATTATGTATATGATTCTTGATAAAAATATAACAAAAGTATATTTATTGTTATAATATTTTAATGTACCATATCTTTGAAACTTTTAAGATTGATTAACTTTAGAACCATTTTAAATGCAATTTGTCTCTTGAGTATTCATTATTTTCTATAGCAAAAACTTTCACTGTCCAGTCTGGTACATATAAATTTAAGCTATCTGTGACTACAAGGTACCTTCATTAAAATTACTGAAAATTATCAGATGTAGTATTATTATCTATATTGATGTCGTTCTGTTTAGGTAAGTATCTCTTTTGTGTCTCTGTTATAATTTCCTGAGCCTATAAATTTTAAAAGCAGCCTAATGCACATCTTTTTTTAAATAATACTCCTCAGTATTCCATTTAATTTTGGTTACATTTAGTACGCTTTTTTTTTTTTTTAAGATTTTACTTATTTATTCCTGAGAGACAGAGAGAGAGAGAGAGGCAGAGGGAGAAGCAGGCTCCCAAGGAGCAGGGAGCCTGATGTGGGACTCGATCCCAGGACTCTGGGATCATGACCTGAGCCGAAGGCAGATGCTTAACCATCTGAGCCACCCAGGCACCCCATTTAGTATGCTTTTTAACAGTGGTGGAGCTTGTCCTTATTTGTTATCTTGTAACATCTATAAATTTACTCAAACACTTATTGAATGTCGATTATATCTTAACTTCTATGCTATCTACTTGAAATATATCTGTATATAAGGCTGGCATATACCTTCTCCTATAATAGGTAAACTAGAGGAGAAGGACAATATTAGCTTGTGGACTTTACAAAGAGTATAAGGTCTTCTGAGTCCACACAATCAGGAGACCTCAATTAGTCCAGAAGCTTTAAAAATTGTTCCACAAAGAAGAGATTTTAAAACTGAGCCTCGGGGTGAAGAAACATGTCTGAGCATATGCAGAGCAGAGAGAAGAGAATTCCAAGTCTGTCAGTGAGAAGAAACCTGTGCTCTTGCTTTAGCCCATGCAGCTGAGGAAACCCATTCAGCTATTCTTTGCTTCCAACTACCTTAGAAAGCAAGGGAAAGGACAAGACAGAGAATAAAGATCACTGTTTTCTAAGAGAGATTGTTTTTATTTAGAGAAAATGGAAACAAATATAGACACAATTATCAACCCTTTAAAAGTAGTCAATATGATAAAGGAGAAAGGGAAAGAAAATCAACCAGGCATTTACCCGAGATACCTTGGGTAAGGCCTTCCTGACACTTGTGGTCAGGTTCAGACATATCCCTCATTATGAGGGTGCAGAGCAGAGCAAAGGTCAGAGAGGGCAAGAGAAGGAAGAGGAGAGGAAACTGCAAATGAGGGAGCTATTGGCCACATGCACAAAGCTCACTACATCACGCTCATAATCCAGGAACACCCCCACGTGGCCCAGAGGCCTTCCCGCATACTGAGGCGACAGTGGGGAGGAGGTAAAGAGACTGCACTGATTGTCCTCTTTGATACAAAAAAGTAGAAAAATTCCCTCCGAGTCAAGCACCATGTCATTCCTCATCGCCCAAGTATCATCACAAAATCCAAGGGCCCAGTTCCAACAGTTCCCCACATCCACCTCCCAGTAATGTTGACCCACAAGTAAACTTCTGGGCTCCCCAGGTGAGAAAATATTTAGATCTTGTTATATTAGTGACAATGTCAGGATGATTGGGACTGAAGTGCAAACATCTCAGATCTTCAAACAGCGGGATATGACAGGTGGTTATTTCATTCTCCAAAAAAAATGGGCACTGCAGAAGGAAGGAAACAGTCATGTTAACATACAGTATTGATTCCTGTTAGACATAGCCTTTCTACAGAGTCTGGGTTTCTAGCTTATCCTTGGAAATGAGGGCCAGGGCAATGAGGAAGCTCTAGAAATCTACTGTAGACCAAGGTTTTCTGGACTGTCTTCATAATGAGCAAATCTTTAACCAGACAAAAATGGAGAAATTTATGAATTGTCTTAATATATATGAAGAAGAAGGATATTGCTAAACTCTGTTTTTTTTTTTTCTCTGAAACATTTGAAATTGGGAGATTAGCAATTCATGGTAAGAAAAGTAACCAGCTCATCTTCTCAGAAAATAATAATAGCTCCAAATAATAATTCCTAAAGAGTGATCACTTTTCCTCATATTTAAGTATTTTTCACCAAAATATGCCAAGGTAAAATAAACTGAAAGAAAAACTCACATTTTTTTTAGAAGTAGAAGGTTTGGGGTGCCTCAGTGGCTCAGTTGGTTAAGCGACCTACTCTTGATTTCGGCTCAGGTCATGATCTCAGGGTCTTGAGATTGAGGGCCGCATGTGGCTCCTTGCTCAGCAAGGAGTTGGCTTGAGATTCTCTCTCCTTCTCTCTCTCCACACCCCACCATTTCATGCTCCTTCTCTCTCTCTCTCAAAAATAAATAAATCTTAAAAAAATAGGAAGTAGAAGATTTGTGAGAATTTTCAGCATGTGTAACTTTTGAGAAGAAAGGAGAGAAATCTAGTGAAATAAGTGCTCAACTGACTTTGGTAAGTATTCATTTTATGTGTTTAATACTATTGATTTTACAAAGTAGTTTTGGATTATGTGAATAAAGAATGCACTGTGTAAAGTGCTTTTATTATGAGACACTGTAGAAAACAAAAGTTAGAACTCTCCAATCATCTCACAACCAGCAATAACCACAAAACCTAAAACTTGGAATATACTGAATGTTCATGCAGAATTACATGGTTCATACAAAGAGTTAACAGTATATCTTGGCATGCTACAGGCCATCTAATATCTTTTCCTATTGTTTACTTCCAGGTAGTTTATCATAAACGATTGGGCTTTTCTCTAGATATTAGTTGTTTTTCCACATATATTATTTTTGTATAAAGGCAAATTTGGCTATAAACTTCCCAAATAATGCAATCATAAAATGTGCAACGGGGAAATATTATCCCTAGGATTCTAGCTGAGGAGAATGTATAACTATACCACCAAAGGACAGTGTATTACCAAGAAATTGGTTGAGTCTCTCAGCCCAGTGATGGGCCATGTACCGAACTGTGGGTCCACAGGTTGGGGCAGGTGCAGCTGCACTGACTCACTCCTGCAAAAAAAGAGCAGTTAGTTACTCTTTCTGAGTTCAAAGTTTTCATGACAGTGATTACGTTTATTCTACATCCCAGTAAAGATGCTTCATTAAAATCCTCATGATTAGGATCAGGGGTTATGAATGTAACTCCACAAACTAGGGAATGTAACAAATATCCATTCATTTTCTGAAGAGCAAATTAAACCCGATTCTACTTCCTACCACTTCAATCCTAGCATACAATTTCAGGATCTGGTTCTTCTCAGCCAAGCATGGGGTTATGCAAAATGGCCTGAAACAGAACATTACAGAAGGGCACATTGATTTTTTTTTCCCCCTAGGGAGAGAGTGCAAGGGGGAGGTGGAGGGAAGGGCAGAGAGAAAATCTTAAGCAGGCTCCACCCTCAGTGTGAAGCCCAATGGGGGGGTCTCAATCTCATGACCCTGAGATCATGACCTGAGCCAAAATCAAGAGTTGGATGCTTAACAGATTGAGCCATGCACGTACCCCAGGAGGACACTTGGATTTTTAACCCACACTAGTCACCACCAAGATGCTCAGTATTCATATAACCACAGCAAGGGGATGAGGAGCTTAGCTTGGGCAGAGATTCTGCTTCTGAGGACCCAGCTTCAGTAAATGCCACATACAGCCTTTCCCTGGGTAGTTGGAGTCCGCCCCGTGCTACCTGTGTGGGAGCCCCAAACCCTAGATGGTCTTCCCCCATGCCTCTTCTCTCCCTCCTCCCACTTTATGCTTCACAGAAATACCTATTTCTCCCACGGAAGCTTATCATGGCTTCAGGCCATAACCTCCGTGTGTTCTTATGTTTCTAAAAATTCAAATCAGGGATAGGAGTTGTCTTCGTGCAACTCATGCACAGAATCCTGGCAACTGCACAGGCTTCCACAGACCCCTGTCCAACCCCACACAAAACAACAAACCCTTCCTACCTTTGGAGACATAGAAAAATGAATACATTATGAAATAGGCTTTACTATCATAATAAATTATGCTCATATTTCAGCATCAACAGTCTGATCACTACTAAACAATTCTCAAACCTCTAATATAGAGGCAAACTTGCCTTTTTAATGTGTCTTCAAAATGCTGTAAAGAGAAACACACAGAGAGAAAGTTTTAGTATATACACCAAAAGATTCACAGTAGAGACTTCATTACTTATTCCCAAGGTGGATAAACCCAAATTCCAGCAAATTGTATCATGTACATGAAAGCAGAAAGGGAAAATGAATTGTGTAGATTCCCAAATTTTTCATTTTTGCCAGGTCAACATGTATCCATATATCTTCAACAAGTTTTCTGGTCACTGTTGGTCAGTAACTGAATATATATTAGAATTTGAGAAGGAGGTATTCTCTGGAAGTTTTTTAGGCTGCTTTTTCACAGACTTTTATAGATTTTAGCCTGGTCATCAGCATCACGGTGACAGGGAAAACCCTTACCACAGTATCAGAAAGCATCATTGCACAGTGGTGATGGAGGGCAAAGAGAATATGGACATGATTCAGTCAGCACCGTCACTCTTTATTCTTCAGTCCTTACTTGGAGCAGCTCCATGTCTGGTTTACGGCACATTTTCTTGAGGTCCTCATACATTCCTCTTAGGAGTTTCCCCTTGAGGGCCATGCTGTCTCCACTTTCTTTGAGTAGTTGAAAAAAATCTCCTTGCTTTCCTTTTCTATTTGCTCTCTCTTCCTCATAAAGCAAGTGGTACACCTTCTGATACTCAGCCGGATCATCTCCCTCCACAGTCACATAACCCTGAGGGGAGAGGATTCATTAGATCATATAGCCAGGCTAATTTTACATATGTCTTATCATCTACTATTTGTCTTCTGACATTTAGCAACTTGGTACATTCCTTAAAAACAAATTTAGGGATGTGTTTCTGCCTCCATCATTTTTTCTACTCATTTGGTTATTTTATTGTACTAGAAGTCAAAATCTTGACTCTAACACCTTCCCCCAAATATCTAAGTTCAGTTTCTACTGGATGCGAATTGCTTTCTCACCATTGTAAAGTCAAAAAAAAAAAATCATTAAGTCCCACCATCTTAAGTTGGGGACTATCCATAAATTGATTTGCTGCACTGAAAAGGGTCCTTATTTTCATGTTCCATGGATACAGAGAGCCTTCCTCTATCTAAACTTCCTCATATGGAAAATTATCAGTTTTCCATAGGTCTTTCTAAACACTTGGCAATCTATCTCTGAAAACTGAAATCCAACTCTGAAACTGAAAACTGAGGAGACATTTTAAATACTCAACCTAACAATGAGAGTTTCTGGAATAATTGAGCATAGTGAATAGACTGGCATTCTATGTGATTTGTTATACAAACATGTACTTAAATATGTACATACAGATAGCATAACATGAGTAGCTTTGTAGGCATGGGTAGATGAATTACTGTCTATGGAAAACTAATACAATTAGCATCTATTTATTGCATTACCTACAGAAATGCAAGCTATCTGGTGACAATTGTTTTCTGTACCTCACAAAGGTGTTGGGTACATGATTAGATTTTTGCAGAGTGGATGACACATCCTGATACAGATGACTGGAAACCTTCTTAAATCTACTTAATCAAACTGCCACATCCAAGCTCTAGTGAGAAGCCATGCCTTGAGTTAACTGATGTGATCCATGGATCTGTTGTTTTTAAAATAAATGTTAAATATAAACTTCTTATCTGCTTTAAAAAATGATATTATAATCCTAATTGCATCAACCCATTACTATACACTATATTTGGTTTCTGTCTGAATCTGCATGCATTCTTTTTTTTATGTCAACATGTAATAGTTTTATGTTTTTCATTCCTTTCTTGATATTTCTTCAGACTGAAAGTTATCAACATTTCATTTATCAGCCCAGTATAATCAAGCACTTGCACAATAATGTCTCCTACTGCTCTGGCAGAACTATCCTACTGTTTATGGATCTTGTCAACCTCAACTGAACTAAAATTCTCTGAAATTTTATATTTTTCAGTGAGTCCTCCACAAAATTCTTCCCTTTTACTTTTTCTCTTCTTTTCTTTTTGAAAACATACTACTACTTTTCTCTTTTGGTCCAAAGCCAAAACACACACAATAGCTTGCTGGTCTTTCTTTAAGATTCTGCTCCCTTTCTCATTACCCCATACATTCTCTCATACCCTCTTCTTTTATTATTCAATACATATGCATAGTTGAAAGATTTGTGGTATTTTGTGGATTTACTGATCACAGTGGATGTATATTATATGACTAACTCCTAGAAGGCATCATAAACATTTCTGTAAAAAAATATATTTTCTGTTAAATTTAGGCAACTATCTCTTAAAGTATTCATCTTGACGAGGCTTGCATCCTGCTCTGTCTCTTAAAAAACATTTTCATATTTAGTCAACGATGGATCATGGTGCTTCACCCAAGGAAGGATCCTAGAAAGGAAAACTTAAAACACTCTGTTTCCACTATATCAAATGATCGGTCATCATGAATCTGCTCTTCTAATGTAAAATCATGGTTAAAAAAGTGAGCTACATTCTGCAGATTCCAAAATTTTTATTTTTAATATTATCTTCTCTTGGAAATTACAGATTAAAAAAACCAACAAGTTAACCCTCCACACCCCTCCTTTCTCTCGTCTACTCCTGCACATACAGCAAAATAGTGAACATTTTTTACTTAGATGTAAGTTTCTTGATGAAAAGATCATGAATGATCAACCTTTGCAGTGGTATTGGCCAATATATCACCAGGTCCACAGAAGGATGTGAAACTCTTTCTGTTGCCACAGTTCCATGGCCTGGGAGTGTGGAGGGGGGTTAACTCTGGGTGAAATCCTGCTTTCGAGGCTTGCTTTTAAACAGTATAACGTAGGGGACACCAGGGTGGCACAGACAGTTATACGTCTGACTCTTGGTTTCATCTCAGGTCATGATCTCAGGGTTGTGAGATTGAACCCTGCATCAGGCTCCGCGCTGAGCACTGCATAAGACTTCTCTCTCCCTCTCCCTCTGCGCCACCCCCCTGCATGCTCACTCTCTCTCTCTCTCTCAAATAAATAAATAAATCTTTAAAAAAGACAATAGTGTAAAGCGAGACTAGAGAAGTTTTTAATCTAGTCTGGATTCCCCCACTCCCAGTGGAACAATGCCCTTCTGACTACTCTATCCCATATTCTGTGTAGTGTAAGGACCTTCCACTGTGGCTGAGGGGAACATCAACAACTCTTAACCCTGTGTGAGTTACACATATTGTTTCATGGGTTTTGTCACCTTTCCTTTTTTTTTTTTTTAAAGATTTTATTTATTTATTTGAGAGAGAGCAAAAGTGAGAGAAATCACAGAGGGAGAGGGAGAAGCAGACTCATCCCTGAGTGGAGAGCCCAATGTGGGGCTCAATCCCGGGACCTTGAGATCATGACCTAAGCCAAAGGCAGACACTTAACTGACTGAGCCACTCAGGTACCCCTTGTCATCTTTTCTTGATCAGGTATTTTTCTCATATGATTTAACTGCTCTTCACTCAGCTATAGCCTCCAGCTATGGGGCCCTCCTCAGATGTCTCTCTCTCTCTCTCTGTCTTTGTGTAGCTCGACCCACCACCAGTCCTTAGTCCTTGGAACTCCAACCTCCTTGAACTCCCTGAACTCACAACTCCACTCAGGATTTCCTATCCCAGTGTTGAGGCCAGCAATCTTCAGCCAGTGCGCTGGGTCGACATTGGGTTCCCCTCATTTGTTTCTTCTCTCTCAGGATTCACTGTCCTGTGTTGCCTATTGTCTAAGGTTTGAAAGCTATGTGTTTTTTTATCTATACCATTCTAATATCTTTTTTTGGTTACTAATTGGTATAAAATAGAGTAAATAAGGTCCCCACTACTCCCTTTTGCTCAAAAAGAAGTCTGTGGAAAGGCTTATATATTAAAATTTCAATTTCTTTAATGGATATGGAAGATTTATTTTTATAAAAGATTTATGAAAATGTATCAATTTTTATCTTCAGTGAGCTTTGGTATTGTGTCTCTTTCATAGACTTGTCCATTTCATCTAAACTATTGAGTTAGTTGGCACAAATGTGCTTCTTTTTTTTTATTGCTAAAGTTTTTTTTTAATTTTTTTATTGTTATGTTAACCACCATACATTACATCATTAGTTTTTGATGTAGTGTTCCATGATTCATTGTTTGTGCATAACACCCAGTGCTCCATGCAGAACGTGACCTCTTTAATACCCATCACCAGGCTAACCCATCTGTGCTTCTAGTATTATCTTATTTTCATTAAAATATCTGTTGATCTCCTCTCTTTTGATATAGCTATGTAGTGTCTTCTCTCTCTCTTCTCCCCCTCTCTCTCCCTCTGTGTGTGTCTGTGTTCATGTGCACTCAGAGCAGCTAGGCTTGAGAAACAATAACTCCTTTTGATTTTTACTGTGTATTTATTTTCCTGAGTGAATTATGCAAGCCAAGGTATTGGCAGTGGTGGTGGAATAGGGCTGGGTTCTTGCCTGAGTTTCTGGAGACCAGGTTCTAGGCACTTGTAGTGTAGTGAGCAGTGGGTCCCACTACAAGGTGTGTGTGTGTGTGTGTGTGTGTGTGTGATGAGTACCCCCCATAGATCCCTTTATCAGGAAGTACCTGCTGAAAGAGAAGCCCCTTCTGAGTCATCACCAAACACCAGACTCTACACGGGGGAGGAGGAAGCAGGGAGTTGTGGCCTTTTGAGAGTAAAAGGGTCAAATGTCAGGCATTTCAAGAAAAGGAGGTCAGGAAGCTCCAAGATCTTGGCCACAAAGGTCCATCACTACCTTGTCTCATCTAGTGTCCCCCTGGTGTGAGATCCTCCCATGAAGAGGATGCTGAACCCTGGTGCAAAGTCAGCTTCCCTCTCACTTGTCCAGTGCATGAAGAACTTCCAAACCAGACCTGTCAGGCAGGTACTGCCCAGTACCTTTGGATAAGAGATCTCTGATTCCTTTGAGTGCTGTCCATTCCTAGGAATTCCAGGACGCTGTCCAAGGCGGGAACATCCCACACTGCACCCCAAGTGCCTGGGACCAGATCCCCTAAAGAGAATCATTCTGGAAACAAATGTGACCTAAGTCTTTAAAACTGTCAAAGCGCCAGCCACCTTCTTTCTCCAATGTCACTACCAGGCACATGGCAGGGTACGGATACTGGTTTGGTCCCAGAGCCTAGCACAGCACTTGGCTAAAGTGGGCTGCCTGGGCTCCAGGAAGGCAGCAAACATGGTCCCATGTGTGTTTAGAAGATGCAGGATTTGGAGCCGCTGAGGCCAGAACAGGAAGAAAAATGTGCTTTTTAAATATGCAATAATAAGGTGTGGTGGGAGCTGCAAGCAATTTCTTCCAGTCTCCCTGCTGTAGCTTCCAGAATTGTTGGAGAGCCACAGTAGAGCTGCCAAGAGCCTCTGCACGTGCTGTGATGAGCACTGGGTGTTATGCTTAACTAATGAATCATTGAACACTACATCAAAAACTAATTATGTACTATACAGCGGCTAACTGAACATAATAAAAAATAATAAATAAATAAAAATTAAAATTAAAAAACAAATTTAATAGAAGAGCCTCCATGCCTGTTCTGCTCAACTGCAGCGCCCTTGATCCCTGTGGGGGGCACGTGGCTCCCTGTGACCCAAGCGCTGGCACAACAGGCATCCCTGGTCTCCAGGCTCTCGCACTGCCACCTCTGGCCTCCTGCTCACCCTTCGGCCTCAGGGTGAACTTGGGGGAAGATTGGAGCCAGCGCACCCAAACCTGCCTAGACACTGCCCTGCCCCCAACTCACATAGAGCCTCTCATACCATTCCCCCCACCCCCACCTCCCGCAAATTTCTCTCTGCTCAGCCAGGAGAGTTGCTCCACCTCATTACCAAAACTTAATATATTAATATTTTATTTTATTTTTTTTAAGATTTATTTATTTATTTGACAGAGGGAGAGAGAGACAGAGTGGGAACACAAGCAGGGGGAGCGGGAGAGGGAGAAGCAGGCTCCTGGCTGAGCAGGGAGCCCGATGTGAGGCTCGATCTCAGGACCCTGGGATCATGACCTGAGCCAAGGCAGATGCTTAATGACTGAACCACCCAGGTGCCCCAATATATTAATATTTTAAATGCTCAAAACTATCTTCCTTTCAAAAATGGAATTTGGCAAAGAGAGTATATATTTTGTTTTTGTTTTTTAAGATTTTATTTATTCACGAGAGTCAGAGAGAGAAACAGGCTCCCGGCAGAGCAGGAAGCCCGATGGGGGCCTCGATCCCAGGACCCTGGGATCATGGCCTGAGCTGAAGGCAGAGGCTTAACCAACTAAGCTGCCGAATCGCCTGAGAGTATATATTTTGTTAAACTATAGCAAAGATTATTGAGTAGCATACTGTAATCAAACCCTACTGCCAATAAGGCAACCATCTCATTCATTTATTAATTGATCCACCCATCAAATATTTGTTAAGTGCATGTTCTCTGTTAGACACTCTGTTACCTGCTGGCAATACGTCAGTGAACACTTTCTCTCTTGCAATTTACACTATTGTAAAAGAAATGGCCAAATATTTAGAGTTCGTATATAAAAAAAAAAGCCTATCTTGGTCTTGAGAGTCAGTAGAGATTTCCCTGAAAAACAGATTTTTTTTTTCTTCTGAGGGTGAATTGATGTGTAGGATACACTAGATGAAGAGGTGGGAGAAGGTTTCAGTTTGACATGGGCATTGCAGATAACTGAGTCTGTCTGTGATGAGCAATCTCTGTGTTCCTACACTAGACCATTAAGTTGGAATCACACACTCATATATTTTTGTAACTCCAGCATACTCCCAACCCAGGTGAGCAACCACAGCAGGTAGTCTAGATAAGTGGGCCACAAGAGATGATTTTAATTTAAAGAAGATGGAACAAAAGAAGATGGAATCAAAAATCCAAGAACATACCACCTGGCCCAGAGGTTTCTTTACTGACAAACACTGGGAAAGTGGATTGGGGACTGTAACAATTACCCTCCTTCACACATAGAAGAAGAAACCTATCCTCAGATGCCATCAGAGGGCCATTCTTCCTTATCCAAGTATCCTTACAGACTCCTAGAGCCCACTCCCGAGTCGCCCACATCCAGCACCGGATACTGTTTTCCAGAGGTGAAATCATCACCAGTCATGTGTCTTGATCTTCTCCACACAGCAAAATAATTAGATCTTTCAGAATTCAAAGATGCATCTAGATAGTCATGTCTACATCTCAAACTTTTCACACTGTCAAACAGTTTGATATCATGATTGGTTATTTCTTTTTTGAAGGAAATCTCCACTGTGGAAAGAAAAGAATATTCCAGTCAAAATCAGTTTTAAAATTCTCAACAAATTTCTGAGTTGACTTAATACGTGAAATGATACAAACTATCAGTGACTTCAAAATTAAAAAAAAAGAAACACAAGCTTTTTGTTCTTGTGAAATATTTCTTCTCTTAGCACAAGACATTAGTTTCTAAGTGATTTTGCTTCCAAGAATGCCCAGACCCAAGTGACTCCACTTCCTAGCTAGAAGAAAAATTCTAAGAGCAGTTCTTAAAGGAGTCAGAGGAAAATACTAAGCAATTCCTGTGCTTGTCAATGGTATAAGTATGTGTCTATTACTAAAATGTCCCCCCCTGAATTTAAACAAAAATATTCTTCCCCCTGCATGTTCTCCTACAAATAAATCTAAATGATAGACAACAGAAGATTGTTAGTCTTGCTTCATGGTGAAGTCATAGGTTATTCTGATATATAAAAGTGCATCATGTTTTGGAATTGAGTAAACTGGGTCCATTACTGTTGAGCTAGGTCTCAATTTTTTTAAGATTGGTTGATTGATTGATTGATTTTAGAGAGAGAGAGAGAGAGTAGGAGGGCAGAGGCAGAGGGGAGGGGGAGAGTCTTAAGCAGACTCTGAGCTGAGCACAGAGCTCCACGCATGGCTGGGTCTCACAACCCTGAAATCACTACCAAAAGTCGGACGCTGAGCCAACTGTGCCATGGGTGCCTTGAGATAGGTCTCGATTTTTGATCACCTCTACCCCTAACTTTAACACTCCCAAATTTTACTTCTAAATTTACATTTTTATGTTGTGAACGTGCTAATAAGTGCATCAACTCTAATGAAGTCAGTATGAGATTTGTTTAAAATCAGTTGACAGTAAAAAGAATAAAATGGATAAAGAAGACTAGGATATAGAACCAAAAAAATAAGCTATTGCAGATGGCAGGCATGAATGTATATTTATATACATATATAAGATTTCTGTGCGTGTTTTGGTCTTAATGTTTGTAGACTATTCATGTGACTTCATAAAGAGTACCTCTTTGAGAGAAAGCAAGAATATTTTAAAAGAACACATTCATTTCCCAAAAAAACAGGGGTGAGGGTTTGCCACATGGTTCAGCAATTCATTCAAAAATCCTGTTCAAGAAAACACTTCTGTCATGTGCAAACTAGCCATATACATAAAAAGAGAACATCTCCTCTACTTTGAAAGTTATTCTAGTAACAAGATATTTCAGGTAGAAAGGAACAGACTATAAGAATTCCATGGTCTTAAGCATGTTGATAAAATGATTTATTTTAATATTATTAAAGTTTTTGTAGATTATTTTGAAAGCAATTCCCATAACAAAATATATATTAGGAAACTAAAACCTAACACCTACTGTGGCTGCTGATACATATAACCAAATAGTGACCTCATCACCACATTAATTACCTTACTAGTTCAATCCATGCTCACTGGTGATATGGGTTCCAGTTGCTGAATATATTCCTTTGCTTACAATAAATAAATAAAAATTCTTGTAAGAAAACTTCCTTGGTTGTCTAGCCAACAGGCATCCACCTTTCCAACCCTCTTCCTCCTGTATAAAAGAACATCAGTTTTGCTGAGGTGTTCATTTCCCCCCAAAAGCTTGGACATCAGGAGTGTGATCCAACCTGTAGCTACAGGTGTGAGTCGTGACTGGTCTGAAAAATCAATCAGTAATGTAATTGCCCAGAAGTTGGTTTAATAAAGGGCAGTTCACTAAGCTTTTCTACTTTCATATTTTACTTAAGTGTCAAAATGATCCCATCATGATTTCTTGTTCAAAATCCCTCTGCTATTAATGTTGGAGGCAGAACTCCCACCTTTGACCCAGTTAAAATCTGCAAGCTATTACTCTCCAAGATACTACAAGAGGCAAAAACAACCAACCTCTTGCTTTCTAAGCAACTATGTTAATTCAATCAACAAGCATTTTCTGAAAGTTCACAGTTCCAGGAACATTCTGTCAGCTTGGAGATGTAATGGTTAGTAAAACGACATCCTTATAAGAGATAATAAAAATTACACAGGCTCAAAAAAAAAAAAATTATGGAGGCTCCTGGGTGGCTTAGTCGGTTAACCGTCTGCCTTCCGCTCAGGTCATGATCCCAGGGTCCTGGGATTGAGCCCTGCATTGGGCTCCCTGCTTAACAGGGAGTCTGCTCCTCCCTCTCCCTCTGCCCCTCCCTCCCCCCCACCCTTCTACCCCCCCACCCCCTGTTCGTGCTCTCTCTCTCTTGCTCTCAAATAAATAAACCTTTAAAAAAGAGAGATAATAAATTTTTTAATTGGCACAATAAATATATACAATGCCACTGATCTGTATGTCTTCTGTCCCTCATCCATGATCCTGAAAAATGTCTTTATTGCAACCCGTTGATTAAAACGCACAAAAATGTGCACACATAAGACATAGTCATGAAACTAAATTTTCTCCTTTGATGTTCTTTATTTCAAACAGAATCCTTCACTGAAATCAGTTTCTGAATATATGAGAGTTAATGGGATTAAACTTTGTAAATTGGACCAGATTTCAACCAGAATCTTCTTACATGAATATACTGTTTTTTAATTTGCCCTCCTATCTTTATTATAGACACACCTGCACTTAAAAACAATCATTAAGGAGAAGAGAATAGCAGCATGTCCTCAGGTCCTTTGGAACTGTTATCAAGCCTTCCTTTTCATGGTGAAAAGATTTAACTATCATGGAATAACAATCAGCACAAGAAAACATATTGTGTTTTTGAAATTTTGTTTTGTAAAAAACATTCATTCAGTCCTCATTTCTAGACTAATGAATGCACTGTCCCTCTAATTTCTGACATTTCTTTTTTAAAGATTTTATTTATTTGAGAGAGAGAGTACGTGAGAGGGGAGAGGGTCGGGAGGGTCAGAGGGAGAAGCAGACTCCCTGCCGAGCAGGGAGCCCGATGCGGGACTCCAGGATCATGACCTGAGCCGAAGGCAGTCGCTTAACCAACTGAGCCACCCAGGAACCCGCAAATATGTTCTTTAAGGCCAGTCTTAAGTGTCATTTCTCAGGCTTTTCCTGAACTTGCTACTATTCTCTCCTCTGAACTCAGGCGCCCTAATTTCTGACATTTCTGCACAGTTACCAGTGTTGCTTTCTGCAAGCCCATTCACTGTTGCTATCTCTAACTTTACGTCAGGAAACTGACATTTCTGAAATCATTTCCCAACAGTCAAATACAAGTTCTTTTCCAAATTATTCAAAGCATTATCTACATATAAATTGTCAAATATTTCCTCTGACATACTCACATAGTACCACTTGTAGAATAGGATGTAATATATTTATACAAAGAAAATAAGATATTCCTAAGTCATTTTACAGTCTACACAAAGTAAAAATTATGACACCTGGAAACTATTTTCTGAGTCTTTATAATTTATAGAAACAGCCAAGGAATGCATAAAACATCAGACCAAAACTTAATCATCAAATTATTTCAAATATATATAGTAAGACCAGATGACAAAATAGCTTGTTATTATAAGGTGGAAGTAATGGAGTCATTTTTTAAGTTTGGCAAATGAGATGATTTCACAGAAACAACCTCAGTTTGCTAATAAATTAAATATATAATACTGTGTTTGTTTCAATTCGGGAAAGTAGCAAGAACTCCTCTTATGTAAATTGTGTGTTCACTGAACAAATAGGGCTACAAGCAATGCTTGATGTAGAAGTAATAAGAAAGAAGTAATAAGTACAATTTTGGCTGTGTCTATGTGTATGCATAAGTTGAACAATCCAAAATTAATTCATATTTACATACTGTATTACAAATCTAATCATTGAAACATCTCATTAATTTATGGTTTGTTGGTAACGGCCCATTGCTGGATATATTCAGAGAATAAATTACTCATTGGAAATTACTTAGAAATAAACATCTTAAAGAGAGGTGGAAGTGGATTTTTTCTTTTTCTTTTAAAGATTTATTTATATGAGAGAGAGAGAGCAGGTAAGCCAGATCGGAAGCATGAAGTGGGGAGGGAGGAGCAGGGATAAGTAGATTCCCCATTAGCAGGTAGTCCTAGGCGGGGCTAGATCCCAGTACCCGGGGATCTTGACCTGAGGGAAAGATAGACGCTTCACCGACTGAGCCACCCAGATGCCTCAGAAAGCAGATTAAAAAAAAAAAAATTTGAGAAGCCTCATATTGTCAAAAACTAAGTCATCATTTCCAACCTGATCTCCTGAGAGCCAATTTGACTTTGATCACATTGCTTTCACGAAATCATTTTTACACATCTCATCTCCCTAAACCCCGAACTAAATATAATCATTCACATTTTGATATCAAATGTCACCTTAACTTCCAGAGACTAAGGGAAAAGGCACAAAACTGAAAGGATTTAAATGGCCATCCTGAAGAGGAGAGAGTATCAGATCCTAGGCCACAAGGCAGGACTGAAATTAACACCAAAGGTTGGGCCTATATTCAAATATCACATTGAAAGATAGTCAGATGTTGGAGTGGGAATGAGAGTAGAATGTGGGAACCAAGAAACACAAAAATTTCCCCTGCATGTTGTGTAAAAATAACACCAGGATGAATGAAAAAACAGAAGGGTAATTGCACTATATTGTTTCTGGAGATTGAGAATGGGATTATTCTATTCAAGGTCAGAAAGGTACATCTTCCTTTGGTCCTGCCTACAGCAGAAATCTAATCAGGGCGGAGCTTCGGGATCCCAATATAAAGGCTTTGCAGAGGCAAAGTAAGTTTGTTTTGTGTGGAGGCCTTTGAATTGGCTGGACTGTGGGAAGTCAGAAAGTCCAGATGCCTTCTAGTACAGAGAGCCCAGAGAACACAGAACTCCTGACCCAATTGGGCGGATCTTCCTATAAGCATCGGTGAGACCAATTACACATTCATTAGGTGAGCACACACTTGTAAGTAAAGGAGTTTCTTTTTTCTTTAAAAAAAAATTAACTGTCAGCAGGCTTAAGACATTCCTAAGCAGTTATATTATAGCGAGTTAACAATAATTATGTCAGTCTTTCCAGTTTACTCTTGAGCTATTAAATTTTAATCTGTTATTGTTTTGATATTTGCAAATTTATGTTTATTAACTCTATTTTATGTTCCTTGTATATGCAAATTGGGATATCTAGAGGCAATGTTCTAGATTTCATGTACTTTTATATGTGGCTTGGCCCTAAAACTTAATTGGAAAACCTCGTTGTAGTATGGTAAAAGGGACTGAGGCTTAAAGATGAGGAACAGCTACCAGAATGAAATCACATATATTCTGATATTCTCACTTGATCTTTGACATTTGAAGGGAGAAACAGTATGGTTCATTAGAAAGCATTCATTCCATTGCACAGGGCCCAGGAGAATCCAAGCAAATCAGGAATTTACCACAGGTTCAGGTCTCACTCATAAAAGACCACAGTGCAACTTGTGTCTGGAGAAGCTCCCCGGCTTATCCCTGTGTCCAGTCTCACCTTCAGTCACGGACCCCTGAACTTCACTTGGAAGGTAGCCATGCTCAAGGCCCTAGAGAGCAGTGGTCCTTTCCCTTTCACTCATTTGGCTTTTGTTTTAATTTTTTACCTTCCTTCCCTAGGACTTGTTTCTTACCTTGAGTCTCCTTAGACAGAGGCCGCTTGTTGGTCTCACTCAACGCCATTTTAGCTGGCTCTGGTGAGAAGGCAGGCTGGAGTTAGGAAGACGATTTTGAAAAGTACAAACGTAAACATCTAAAACATAAACATAGGGGCACCTGGGTGGTTCAGTCAGTTAATCATCTGATTCTTGGATTCTGCACAGGTCATCATCTCAGGATAGTGAGCCCTACATCAAGCTCCCCACTCAGTGGGGAGTCTATTGAAAGAGTCTCTCCCTCTGCCCCTCCCCCACTCTCCCTCTCTCTCAATCTTTAAAAATGTAAACATAAATTGCAACCCAGAAGTAGGCAATTTTCTATTTACATTGTTAAATGTGGTTAAATTATACAGGGGACATATTCCAAGTGGGTTGTGATTTTCTCATTCATTTCTTCTCTTTCTCCTCAGAAACATAAACACTGTAGGACTTCCAAGAATAATTCACGTGCTGAGTCTGGAGAGTGAAGAAGTTGGGCTCCTGCTGAGGTGTCTCAACTGCTAGGACCATACGAGTGGCCCAAGGTCTAGATATGTCATTGCCTAGAGGCCAAGATGACTGGTCCAAAGAAGATATTGTGATGTTACTGGAACACATGGAGACAAATCTTCCATCTAATGACAGCCACACATTCAGAACAACCCAGTCACAGATGGACTGGGGAAAAGTAGCTTTTAAGAATTATTCTGGAGAAATGTGCAAACTCAAATGGCTGGAGATTTCTTATCGCATATGAAAATTTCTCACAGAATTAGTTCTGGAAGCTAAGGAACATGTTGAAAAGCCCTACAGAAGCAAAAGACACAAGAAACACTCAAACTTGCCCAAGAAGACCCTGACTGCTTTCCTTCCCTTCTTCAAGGAGAAGCGGTCCCAGTACTCCCAAAAATATCCCAAGCTGAGCAACCAGGAGCTGACCAAGCTCCTGTCTGAGGAATACAAGGAGCTGCCAGAGCAGATAAGGCTCAAATATGTTCACGATTTTCAGAAGGATAAACAGGAGTTTGAGAAGCAACTGGCTCAGTTCAAGACAGA